CTATAATAACAAGACTGCTGTAATAATTAGACTACTATAATAATTAAACCACTATGATAATTAAACTATTATAATAATTAGAATACTACAATAATTATACTACTATAGAATAGACAGAGTTGTTTACTTGGTTACTGTTAACAGTTAATTCTTGACAGGTTAATTATACTGCTCATGAAAATCAGGTGTGTATAGTTGGGTTAGGTGTAACGGTACGGCAAGATATAGGTGGTGCGTTGGTGGAGAAGACGATTAATTTAAGCTGATGTGATGTGAGATGTTCCTTGACTCGCAGCTGTTCAGTCGATATCTGGAGTGTGGGCTGTATTCTAGCTGAGATGCTGTCCAACCGACCCATCTTCCCCGGAAAACATTGTATCCTTTCGAGCTGCAGATGTCCGTTGCTCTGATGACGCACGCACGCACGCACGCACGCACGCACGCACGCACGCACGCACACACGCACACACGCACGCAAATACACACAAAAGCGCAAGCGCGCACGCATTCACATATTACACACAAAAGCGCAAGCGCGCACGCACGCACATATACATACGCGCGCATTGCCAAATATCGCGATTCTTTGGCCTAGTAGATCTCGCGCGCCTTCCTATGTTGTCGATGCCTGAATCCCACACAGATCTCGACCAGTTGAACCACATCCTAGGCGTGCTAGGATCGCCACAGGACGACGATCTGGAGTGCATCATCAACGAAAAAGTACAGTAAAACACGCTCAGTATAATATCTGAAGTGCCGTAATATAGATCGATATGAAACTAAACGACTATAAGACTATATATGAGATTATATTAGACTATATTAGACTATATGAGACTATATGAGACTATATGAGACTATATGAGACTATGTGAGACTATATGAGACTATATGAGACTATATGAGACTATATGAGACTATGTGAGACTATATGAGACTATATGAAATTATATGAGACTATATAAAATTATATGAGATTATATAAGACTATATTAAATTATATGAGATTATATTAGACTATATTAGACTATATGAGACTATATGAGACTATATTAGACTATATGAAACTATATGGGACTATATGGGACTATATGAAACTATATGGGACTATATTATAAGACTATATGCAATTATGTGAGACTATATGAAACTATATGGGACTATATAAGACTATATAAGACTATATGAGACTATATGAGACTATAGATCTATGAGCTCCTGCTATTATGACACCTGCGTCTATTGACTTCCTGAATTTTATTATTATGATCAATCATGATTACCCTTGAATCACCGTTAAGAAGAGGAGGAGGGAGTTGGTAATGATACGTTAGAGATTATTGTTCAGTGACCAAGTGTTCACGTGATGCGGTTGTCGCGTTGTTTCAGGCTAGAGCGTATCTGCAGTCGTTGCCACACAAACCTAAGGTGCCCTGGCCCGACATGTATCAGAATGCGGACCCAAAAGGTAAGCGGATTGTAACCAGGTTGAATCCATTATTCACTATCAGGCACCTGGAGTGTAGCATCCCTCCCCTTTGTCGTCCTTCGCTTTACGATTATATGTAACTGAACCCGGGGATTTCCTTTGTTGCGTGATATACCCCCCGGAATGCCCAGAAATCGAAATCAGCTTTTCAGCTTTCGTCGGTGGACGTTTCTAATTTCTGCCGGGATATCGAGGGGTACTTTCATCGCAAAATTAAGACGAACGAGAATATGAAACATAAAGAATAACATAAAGAACATAATATAGACCACAAAGGCGACGAACACAAAGGCACAGGAAATTGCATTCCCGATGTCTAACTTCTAATATCACCGCAAGGCGGCGCCAGTCGAGCTTCTCTCACCAAACTATTGACAATAGACCAGGACAATAGACGGTTGTCCTGGATCATTGCCATAGTGATTGCACGCGGCTCTCTGCGCAGCCGAGCTGACGGTTGCCATGGTGATAGCGTTTCCGTATTTTTCCTTTCCCAGCGTTGGATTTGCTGGATAGGATGTTGACGTTCAACCCTCAGAGACGAATCACGGTTGAAGAGGCGTTGGCGCATCCGTTCCTTGAACAGTATTACGACCCTGGCGACGAGGTATTTCAATCTCAGAATTATTTAGATTTTTTGATTGCGGGCGCGCTTACGTCACAGCGCACATGCACGTTAGTTTGCTGTCTGTGATGGAACTGAGGGACTCTACATGGCGAATCGTCTATATATGTGAAACCTAGTTGCGTTAATATTTCAGTTCGGTGTAGTTACGTTGATGTGATCGTATAGTCAGATGTAGTTTTCTGAACCTTGCGTTGTGTTATTGTTCTTATGGTGACTTATACCACTGTAACCCGTTCGTTGGTTCGTTTCGTGTTGCTTGCGCTTGAAGGAAAACCGATCACACAAATAATTTCGTACGTCCAAAATGAGTTTCACAAGGATTTATTATTGCTCAAAAGTCCGGAAATGTAGTTTAATATATGAATAGTAACTGCGCGCGCGTTTGGAAACTAAAACTCCCAAGGCGCACTCTGATATTTATATGGACCAGCGAGGTGACGTCACATCAGGGGTCCCCAAGGCCACTGCAGGTCGAAAAGCGTCCCCTCGCCACTCGCCTGTAGCGCACTGCACCACGTCGCGTACATACGTGTCTGCATTCAGGTTTGACGCGTTTATCTGTAGGTGTGGACGTTTATACACGTAAACATGTTGACGGCTACGCACACAAATATCACGTATGATTCTTATACACTACTTTTACTAATTACAAACTCTACGCGCTACACTGTTACATATGTTTGTCTCAATACATGCATCATTGTTGTACAATACTTGGCCGCATGTGTGCGTGCGTGCGTGCGTGTGTGTGAGTGTACGTGTGCGTGTGTGTGGGAGTGTACGTGTGCGTGTGTCTGTATGTGTAAGTGTCTGTGTATGTATGTATGTGCGTGCACGTATAACGATACCCACTCACAATACACACATGCACGCGATGCAGCATTTGAGCGAAGCTGGCCCGAAAAAACGAGCGTGCACAACCGAGAAAAAAATCGTCTCATAACCGGATCCAGATCCGGATTCATAACCGGATCCAGGACCGGATGCAGAACCGGATCCAGAACCGGATTCATAACCGGATCCAGGACCGGATCCAGAACCGAATCCAGATCAGCTAAGCGCGATTCTCTGCTTGCATTGCAGCCGGTCGCAGACGAACCGTTCACGTTCGAAACGGAACTCGACGACCTTCCCAAGGAGAAGCTGAAGGAGTTGATATTCGAGGAGGTGGAAGCATTTCGCCAGAACGCAGGTGTGTATATAATGTACCATCCCGGCTGCTGCCTCCACCCCTCCCTCCTCTGCATCCAGCTCTCTCCTCCTCCCCTCCCCCCGCTCTCGCACCTGCCCTCCTTTCTCCCCGCAGCATTTAGTTCCCCGCATCTGCCACCAGATGGCGATCGATTAAGTGAGCCTATTGTTTCTGTTTCTTCGCAGATATATGGGAAGAGAAGATGGCTGAAGGGACGGCGCACGGGAAACGCTCTTCCACGTCGACTCCCAACTGTCTCGAAATCCCGTTCTGATCCCGTCGAATTTACCACGCGCACGTTCTCTCTTTTTCCGGATTCGAACGCGCCGTTTCCTAGCGACGAACACTCGCAAACAAATGTCGAAATCAAACTCCAAACCAACTCTGCTCATGTCCGTGTCAGTGAGAATTTCTTTGTCGCTGTAAGACTGTTCTGTCTCTGATTTCTCGGGCGAGAAAGAAAGAAAGAAAGGACGAATGTTGTTCCCAGTGAAGATCGCATACCGTATTGTGTTTCAGAGACGTTGTAGTGGCTTGGATGACCAGCTGTCTACGCACAGCTGCGATCAACGATGTGACCGCGGTTGCTATACCTAACAAGGGTTCCTTTCTGCTACGCTTGCTACTGTAAGAGCGTATTTGCCTCGCACACAAGCCGCTGGTGCTGGCAACGGGAAACGCTTTCACGATAGCAATTATAAGGTGCAAGCGGGAGTGTTACAGATGTGAAAAGGTTGCGCGACTCTGCAGTTAGTCATGGGTTCATGTGATCGTATATACATACGTATACAAGAGTTTATACAAACTTTATTTTTTATTTGTTTTTTTTTGAAACGGTAAATTATCGCTTGTGTTTTTATTTCGACGATATGTAGCCGGTAAGGATAATCGTGATTATGAGCTGCTATATATTTAATTAATTGTAAGTGTTATATAATGCCGGACACGCAGGACCGGCCGCTGTCGCTGCATGAGCTGCCGAGGAGGGACTTGTACTCAACATCCTAACCTTCTCCGTTCGGCATGCATGGATCTGCGTGTACATGAACATTGCGTCCCGATTTTATTGGACAATATTAATATCGCGTCATATCAGTAGAAAACTAGAAACGTGATGTAGGCGATTTTTTCTCTCTAGCAGGTTAACTCGCTGCTATCTCTAGTCGTAAAGCCCTTGTTGCTACAGGTTTGCGACAACAAGGGCTATAGTACTAGAGCTAACTTGCTGCTGACGTGTGTGGCGGAGGGTGGGTGGGTGGTTAGGGATGGTGGGGCAGGGGCGTGTACAGGATTTGGACCAGGGTGGGGTCTAACCGTAACCCATACTTGCGAGCACGCGAAGGAGGGGTCAAAATTTTGAAATTAGACCCCCTCAGATGCGTTTTCTGCGCGAGCAGGGGGGGTCCGGGCCCCCTGGACCCCCCCCTGTACACGCCCCTGTGGGGGTGGTTTATGGTCGGAGTCTGCCCCCACTGGTCGCGCAGTTCTCAGGTTTAAAAACCGCTGGGGCTAAAAATCGAGGCGTTCTTGCTTCGTGCATCCATCTGCCACTAACAACCCCTAACGCCACACATACGCACGCACGCGCGCACACACGCGCGCACACGCACACACGCACGCACGCACGCGCGCGCACACAGACAGACACACGCACGCACGCACACACGCGCGCA